AACATCTGAGGTTCAGGTACATTTTGCCATTTCTCTTTATCTGTTAGCCACACATGGAGCTGCAAATGGAAATCCATCTTAAAGCCAAAGGTCTAATTCTCTCGGGGGAAGAGGCTGTAGAAGTTAGCATGTAGGCTTTCCTTGGTTGAGGACAACAGAGAGTAAAAGAGCAGATGGAGCTTTGTAAGGTCAAAGTTTCTGGAAGGACTCCCAGACCAGGTATGGGGCCAGAGAGCATTCTGAATAATGCGAAGGAAGATTCACAGTGGCTCTTTCCTCTGAGCTTGCCCTGATTCTAGAAGCACATGGACCAAAGACACACTGATAGAAGTAACTTTGAACCTTTAGTTGAGTTGGTGCAGACCTTTAAATTCCTGTTTTAAAATAGGTTAGGGATGCCAGATCTATGTGATGACCATGCGTGTGGCTCCCCGGACATTCTTAGGGGCTCTCTCAGCCTGTTTTGATTTAGATCATTCTGTATGCACTGATGTAGCGTAAGGAAAATTAAAAATACCCTTACTAGGCTGACCTGAATGCTTCTGTGGCTGGCTCCATATGGCTATTTTGGAGGCTTTTGAACATTACCGCTCTCTCTCTCTTTCTTTCTTTATTTTTCTTTCTCTCTCTCTCTCTCTCTCTCTCTTTTTTTTTTTTTTTCAAAATCTTCTGTATTTAATGTTAAGCCTCCAAGGGTTTTACCTCATACACTATAAATGGAATATATATTAGGGCAATCAACCAAAAACACACTAAGAAGTTGCCATGAAACTCTAGTTTTCCTCTTTTAGACTTTTATTTCTCCATTTTGGTGGTAAGGGAGAATCATGCATCTATTAATCTTTTATCTAGAAACTTTCCAATGTGACAGAGGTTGAGCTCTTTCAAATTTGGAGCTCTGGATCTCTTAAATGTCACCATCTAGACTTGTCCTGGGATGAATCACTTTATCTCCTTAAACTTGAATTTTCCTTTTGGTGAAATGGGAGGTTAAACTTCCAGAACTCTTGTTCTATGACAATACAATCACTTCTCTTCATTGTGCCCAGGATTGTGCAAGATTTTTTTGGAGGATGGGTGTGCCTGAGGGGCTCTGTCGGTTAAGCCTCCGACTCTTGATTTCAGCTCAGGTATTGATCTCAGTGTTGTGAGTTCAAGCCTCATGTTGGGCTCCTCACTGGCCATGGAGCCTACTTTAAAAAATAAAAACATTATATATATATAAAAATTTGGGATGGGGGAGACAGACTTGAGGGCTGTATTTTAACTTTTCGACACATACTCAGATATCTTATTTTGGTTCTTCTGCTGAGGTCTTTGTGACACTGACTTCTCCCCAAGCCCTGCTCCCCCTGGCCCAAGTCCTTTTCCAGGTCACTCACCTCCTAGCTCCTTGGCTGCCTCTGCCTTCTCACTGATCTCTGTGCTTCTACTCTTGCCCCACCAACGGCCTGTTCTGTACCCAGCACCAGCACAGTCTTCTGAAATGAAATCAGAACATGTCTGTCTCTTGCCTGAAACCCCTCCCATGACTTCCCACTGCCCTTAGAAATACAAATCTGTTCCTGCCTTTGCACCTGCCTCCTCAGCTGGGAATGCTCTTTCTCGAAGATCTTGCACAAAGGGCTGCTTTTCAAGTGGGTTGCGGCTTAGATATCACTCCCTCAGAGAGGCCTTCCTTGACCACTTTGTCTAAAGCAGTCATCTCTACTGCTTAATACCAGACACATTATGTGGATTTATTATTTATATAGCATATCCCACCTGCAACTATCCTGTATATTGATTTTTGTTGTTGTTATATATCATCCCAGTAGCAAATAGGCTTCATGGGATTAAGGACTTTGCTGCTGTGTGCATTGCATATCCTTAGCAGCTAAAGCAAATTCTGGAATATAATAGGTGCTTAAGGAGTGTTTATAGAATGAATGAATGAATGGATGGATGTCATGGGTAGAAAAACTACATGCCAGAGAGGTTATGGTCACAGAGCTAATTAGAAGAAGGGCCAAAGAAGACATGAATAGACATTTCTCTAAAGAAGACATCTAGATGGCCAACAGACACATGAAAAAATGCTCAACATTACTCAGCATCAGGGAAATACCCATCAAAACCACTATGAGATACCACCACACCAGTCAGAATGGCTAAAATTAACAAGGCAGGAAATAACAGATGTTGGTGAGGATGCAGAGAAAGGGGATCCCTCTTGCACTGCTGGTGGGAACACAGACCAGTGCAGCCACTCTGGAAAACAGTAGAGAGGTTCCTCAAAAAGTTAGAAATAGAGCTACCCTATGACCCAGCAAATTGCACTAGTAGGTATTTACCCAAAGGATACAAACATAGTGATTTGAAGGGGCAACTGCCTCCCAGTGTTTATAGCAGCAATGTCCACAATAGTCAAACCATGGAACGAGCCCAGATATCTGTCAACAGATATATGGATAAAGAAGATATGGTGTGTATACACACACACACACACACACACACATATAATGGAACATTCCTCAGCCATCAAAAAGAATGAAATCTTACCATTTGCAACAACATGGAACTAGAGGGCATTAGGCTAAGTGAAACAAGTCAGTCAGAGAAAGACAAATATCATATGATTTCACTCATATGTGGAATTTAAGAAACAAAACAGATAAACATAGGGGAAGGGAGGGAAAAATAAAATAAGGCAAAATCAGAGAGGGAGACAAACCGTGAAACTCTTAACTATATGGAACAAACTTGAGTGTGTCTGGTGATGGACATTAAGGGGGACATGGGATTTAATGAGCCCTGGGTGTTATACACAACTGATGAATCACTAAACTTGACACCTGAAACTAGTAATACACTATGTGTTAATTAATAGAAAAAAAAAAAAAGAAGCAGGGCCAAGACTAGAGCTCAGGCCCCTTCCTGTCTTTCCTCCTGGTCACACTGCCACACAGCAAACCTGACTTAGAGATAATTCTCTCATTTGCTAGTTATTCACCAACTATTTATTGCACCCTTATTATGTTTCAGACACAATTCTGTATCAGTGGTTCTGAGGCAGAAGAGATGTTGGTCCCCTGGGAACATTTTTTAATGTCTAGAGACATTTTTAGCTGTTACAAGCAGGGTGGAGGCTGCTGCTGACATCTCGTCGGTGGAGGTCAGGGGTGCTGTCCTACAAAGCACGGAGTTTAGGGTGGGGAGACACATGACTATGGGGAACATACATACGGAAATTAAAGACCATGTCAAAAAGAGGGTATGATGGAAAAGAGAGAAAAGTCAGAACAGGGTAAGCAGGAGAGCTGGCGGGCATTGCGGGTGCTGATGGGGGTAGGAAGGACTCTAATTTTAGCCCTCTGCGGAGGTGAATCAGGAAAGGAAGTTTTCCTCGAGAGGTTGAGCGCCACGACCTGCAAGGACCAGTCCTTCGGGGTCAACCCGCTCGACCTCCCAGATCCTCCTCACACCTAAAAAGTATAAAACCCTTCTGAACCAGGGGACATCTCAACCTCCAAATGAAAATAGAGCAAACTGCGGTGGGCCAGAAATAATTACCATTTTCCACTTTCCAGGGGTGTGTAAATTCTTCCTTCTCAACACTGTCAGTGCTCTGTCGTCACTCATGCAGGACAGTGTTAATTTGATGCAGTTTGTATTGCTCATTGTCAACTTCTCACTTTTCTCTTGGGCAAGAGTAGTGTGATTTCAGCCTCTCCAAGAGCATCCTGAGATTATTGGTTGTACAGAGGTTTCTGTCTGTCTAGGTTGGTTTCCTAAAATCAACAGAAACAGTTATAGATTTCAGTTTCTTGGGAAAGCTGTGGTAGTTGATGCTGGCAAAACTCAGTCAATGAGTGGTTCTTAATATATATATATATATATATATAATATATATATATATTTACATATACATACATATACGTGTATCTATGTGTGTAGTATATGTAGATATACATGTAAGATCTTGCTAAAAAAAATCATACTAAAATTTTGGTTGGGTAACTTGGTAAGCATGTACTTGCTCTTTTGGTCTCACTCATGTTTCTTTACCACGATTCTTTGCATAGCATTGGTACCTGGTAGGTACTCACCAAATGCTTACTGAATGAATAAACAAACTGCAAAAATCAGTTTGGAATTACTGGGTTCCAAGTTATTTTTCCACATTTCCATGAACTTTGTTTATGTCAGCTGAAACACAACTTGGTAAACACAGTAACATGTTCTTTTTTTTTTTTTTTAAGATTAATTTATTTATTTTAGAGAGATAGAGAGTGTGAGTGGGAGGAGCGGCAGAGGGAGCGGCAGACTCCTGCTGAGCATGGAGCCCTGTGCGCTGCTCGATCCCATGACCCATGAGATCAGGATCTGAGCCAAAACCAAGAGTCAGATGCTTAAGAGACTAAGCCACCCAGGTGCCCCAACAGTAGCATATTCTTACAGTGTTATGATTATATCATATTCATTTATTTCTAAGTCTGTGATTTTTTTTTTTTAATTATTGCCAGGGATATGATTTGACTTATGGGGTTTCTGAATCTGCTAAGCATAAATCTCTTAGTAATTAATACATTTTCCATACACATTTAGCCTAGGGAGGGATTATTAAGCAAGTGAATAGATTTCAATGAATGTTCTTTTTTTTTTTTTTTTTAAAGATTTTATTTATTTATTTGACAGAGCGAGATCACAAGTAGGCAGAGAGGCAGGCAGAGAGAGAGAGGAGGAAGCAGGCTCCCTGCCAAGCAGAGAGCCCGATGCGGGACTCGATCCCAGGACCCTGAGATCATGACCTGAGCTGAAGGCAGAGGCCTAACCCACTGAGCCACCCAGGCGCCCTCAGTGAATGTTCTTAATTCAAATGTGTTTAAATTGACACTGGTGAAGAAATTATGCCCAGTGCACCATTTTATTTTGGGTGCCATTTTATTCTATATAAGAACAACGTTGACTAGTTTGCTGGATGTATGTCCATGTCTTTTTCTTTTTTTTTTTTTTTTCAGTGCTATTTTTTCACAATCGAGTTTGGCCTTTGCAAGCAAGAAGGGCAGCTGCGGGCATATGGAGCAGGACTCCTTTCCTCCATTGGAGAATTAAAGGTACGAAGCTGTGAATAAAAACATCCTTCCCAGGCAAACTGGTTCAAAGTCATGGAAATATTGATTTGTTTGTCTGAACAGTTCTATTCGTAGGTACCCCATAAATATTTAATACAGAGGATTTGGCACCTCAGATGTGGGTACTGACCTAACTTTTTGCGCTTCTGAAAATGGATCACGCCTTTCTAGGTTTGTAGTGTGACTCAGATGGTCAAGCAGCCATGTGCACAGATCAACAGGAAGGACAAATGTATGCTCAAATGTTGGATAACATATGACTGGCCTAAATTGAGTGCTGAAAAGTGGGCAGCCAAGTTAGCAGTGATCCTCCTGATTGAAATTTCCTTGCAAGGATATCTTGGGTATTTTTACTTCTGTTATCCCCATGGCTCCCATGGGTACCCTAGAATTTACTCCTCCAAGAGGAATTTGAGATTATTTTAGCCTCTTCAAAATTAATGTGTATTAAAACGTTTGTGGACATATACAATTTGGAAAAAAAAAACCCTAAATGAACCTACATTCAGAGGGGTAGCTAATATGTATAGTAATGCCTAAGGAATGCTATTTTTTTTTTTTTTTGGGTCTTAAAAGACAATAAAGGGATGCTGGGTGGCTCAGTTGGTTAAAATACAGTAAATTGGTCATTTATTCAGAAATGTTGGGGCCTGGATCATTTGATAATTTAAATATCCTGGTTACTTAAGAATTGCTGTGCATATACCACAGGAGGGTAACAAGTTTTGGTGAATTTAGAATACAATATGATGTATAATGTGGAAATGGTACTAAACATAGTTTAATCTTTCTTTGATTACTGAGACTAAGATCAGGATTATTGACTAAGCAGAGGTTATTTGGGGTATTGATTATCCTTATATAATATAGTTGGGAAATAGATGATTATTGGAACTTTTTGGTTGTTTATATTCTTGAAAGGTACAGTGTAACTGTAGTCTTACTGAGTGTTCACTTTATGATTCCATTCATGCATTCATTAATTCCTCAAACATTTGATTGAGTACCGACTATGTGCCATGTACTGTGCCAGTCACTGGGGATATAAATAATGAAGAAGGAGGAGTAGAGGAGGAGGAGAAGGAGAGGGAGAAGAAAGAAGAGGAGGAGGAGGGGGAGGAGTGGGAGGGAGAAGAAGGAGAAGAACAACATAATGGCAACCTCAGTGGACACTTAAGCAGACCTCAATTAGTATTGTGGGTGCTTTAAACATATTAACTCACTTATTTCTCATAACAACCCCATGAGATAATCAGTATTATTATCACAGATGAGAAAACGGAAGCACAAAGACATTAAGGAGCTTGCCCAAGATCACACAGCTAATGCGTGTTGGAGCTGGACCCAAGTCCAGGTGGCCTATCCTGCAGGATCCCAGACCTTAACCAGTAGGCTGTACTTCCTGGGGTCCCTGTTATCAGAGGGTTTACTTTCTAGTGCAAGGGCTAAGCAGCCAATCAGATAATGCCAAGTGTGACACGTGGGCCTGGCACTTACTAGGTCATGCCAGGGAAGGCTCCGGACAAGGGCCTTGCTGCCCACGCTGACTCCTGAGGAGTGGAAAAGATGAATGAGGAGAGGATGAGATGCACAGAACAGTTGAGTGGACAGCAGCATGTGTGCTCTTGTCAAATCCTGGCCTGTTTGGGGAGCTGCTGGAGCTCCATGTAGTTGGAATAGATAACATTTCACATGACAGAAGCCTGATGTAATGTGTTAATTTTTTTTTTTTTTTTAAACAAAGTTCTGTACAGCAACAAAAAAGCTACTTGGCGTTAATTTTAGTACAGCGGCCAAAGCCCACAGCAATAGCATGATGTCATATCCCTAGAAGACCCATGCCTTCTATAGAATGCTTCTTGATTTCCATGAGAAAAGAATTAGAAAATGATTTAGCTCTTTGAGCTACATCTATTTACATTCTCAGAAAGTTTATAAATGATACCAGAAACAAAAGAAACAAATCTCTCTCATTGCCCCGACTTTCGACAGGGTCCTCTAATCGGGTTAATGGGGCATGTATAGGCACCATTGGGTTGAGTGTGTTGTTTTTGTTCCTATTGGTGTGGACAGAAATGTCTGGAAATGGAAATCAGCCAGGGCTACATACACCAAAGGGCATTGTCTGCCGTGAATCTTGTTCTGGTCCATCACCTCTGGTCATTAGCATTCTTCCATTCTCAAACTTCTCCACTCCAACTTCCCAGTGATTGCTACTTTGGACCATTTTTACAATTCAGAAATTCTTGCTATGAGAAGTATCTTCTGATTACTCACAGAGAATACATAACACAAGAGGCTTCCCATACCCGCTTCCCTCTCCTCATCTCTGCTGTGCTCTCTGCAAATGTCCAGAATCCTCTCACAGCTTTTGAGTACTTCTGTCTAATTTCTAATTGAATGGATACATGATAATTCTGAACTCAGGATAGGGAGATAGCTTTAGTGATAGCACTATAAAAATTCCTGTGTAAAACACACTTAACAATTTTGAAAGGAGTTACGTTTTGCAGTGGAAGATCTCTTGTTTCCAACTGTAGCCTAAATGTAGGTCCCAGCTAAGCTGTGGGAGGTTTTGGTGTAATCTTTATTACTTTTACATAAATATCCATAATGCACCTTCTTTCCTTGAACAGAACACTTTTTAAAATTTGTGCTTTAAGAGGCTAAATTTTCCTGGGCGTAGGTGTTGTACTTCAGAGCTGACCAAGTACTCCCAAGGGGTGTATGTATACTTTGGAGGATAACTTTCATTTTCCCTCTTATTTTTTCAATGACTACAATGCTTGTTTTTTGACAGTCTTTGGAGAGAGAAACTAAATATGGAAAAGCTTGTACAAGCTACATCTGATAGCCACAAAGACTTCTTTTAACCTCATCAGTGGTTGCCCTCTCTCTTCTTTGTTCTGTGATATATTTTTGGGAATTCTAAAAGTGTGTTTTGGTAGGGCCTCTACCATACCTTCATCACTCTGGGGAGCAGCTGATAATGAGCTAACTCATTTGGAAGTCTGACTTTAAAAAAAGGTTGAAAGTAGGATGATCGATTGGTGTTTATCCATAGTCAGCGTATGTCTTTCACACTTTTTCTATCTCAGAATTGACCCTACTATATTATGTCTCATTTTTAAATTTATTATGCACTCATTTATTTATTCACTTTATTCAACAAACCCACAATTAAAGTTCTAATGTTTCAAGGAACTTGGAGTCTCTAGTAGGGAGATTCTAAGAAAGTGGTTGATAGGAGTCTCTGTCGAATCCAAGTGTCATGGGCAAGCAACAGTGAAGTTTGTTCCTGGTGGTGGTAAGGAAATGATTGCTAACTGATGAAATGGCTGAATCTTATCCTAAAAAGTTAATATGTCTAAAAAGCAAAAAGCAATTTCTCCTCTTTTTATGGGTAAAGGTAAAGTCTAGTTCTTTATTTCCTTAAGGGCATGGATTAGATTTTTTTGTAAACAGCCTTTGCACCTACCCTGTAGTAGTTGCTGATATAGTACATACAAATCCATCTGTTCTGCTTTTCAGGTTTTTACAAAGCTGATGGTTTTAAAATTTTTAATTATTATTATTTTTTCAGCTCTAGTTTTAGGATCTCCTTGCACAGTGACTTTATCATACTGCCTTTTTAGTAGACTAATTAGCATTCAAAGAACAGACTTGGTTTATTACAATCATTCATGTTTACAGCCATTTGCAGCAGCTCTGTCCAGTGGCTAGAATTCCCACTAGGCCCATATAGAAGAGGCTGGAGGCACCTGTGGATCCTGTCACCAGTATGGCTAGAGTTAGGACTCACCACTGCAGAGCTCTCCCACCTTTCCTCTGTACGGATGGCTCATACCTTCCCCCACCCCCCAACTCTTTTTCCTGAAACCAGCACTGTTAGTAAAGACAGAGAAAACTCTGGAGCATGGGGAGTTGGAAACAGGTCTTTGGCTTTTACAAAGAGATTGTTTGAAGAGGGAGTTTTTTCCCCTTATGCCTGCAGCTTATTCAAATTGATGAAACTTGCAACATCACTGATTTAAAAAAAAAAAAAAAAAGGTGTGATGCCATTATCACCTGATTGAGCAATAGCAATGTTGATGTCACTTTGTACTTGGTTAGTAGGAGGGACATTTGAGGGAAGTTCAAAAAATATTATCTACATGCATTCATATGTACATATATAAATGTACATATTTGCTGTTCTGATGGGGGAAAAGGAGATTACAATGTGAATATGGGAGTGTTTGCAAATTCTTATTTAGAATCTAGGGCCCAAATTACCTCTAAACCTGACTTCACACTTGACTCTTTTCCCAACTTAAACCAGTCCTAATATAGAGGGTGATGATCACAAGATTTACATGGAGAATAGTTGAGATAGTAACTTAGTGCCTACAAAGGCAGGTGGTTGGGAGGAAGGAAGATTTTAAATTGAACTTAGGGCAGACACTGTTGTAGTCTGAAACCTGGAAGCCTCATAGCTAGGGCCATGTTATTTTCTCTGTGGGTTCTGGACCCCTGGGGGAGAAGAGCTGCACCAGTGGTGACAGGCGGTGCCACTCGATCTCACGACCTGAGCTGAAATCAAGAGTCGGCCACTCAACTGATGGAGCCACTCAGGTGCCCCTCGTTTCTTACCACAACTGGCTTACAGATACTATTCGTATCCCCATTTCCAAGATGAATACTAGACTAGACTTATAGGGTGGGATAACTTACCCAGAGTCATGCAGAAACTTTAGATAACAACTGGTTCTAGGCAACTTGATGTTGGAAAAAGATTTTTGTATTTAAAAGGCTGGAATGACAAATAAGCCTTAATTTGTGCACTGAAGCCGATTAATTGCTAATGGCCACTTCTGTTGGGAAGGATGGGAAGGCCATGCTGAGGCCAGTGGGAGAGGCTGCCACGGCCAGTCTGTGCCACCTGGGGTAGAGGGAGGAGAGGCCGAGAAGTGCAATGTATCTGCAGGCCCTTTTCAAATGATACTGCAAGGAGAGCTTTGGAACTCATGTAGATCGGTCCTTTCAGTTTCTGAAAGAGGAAATTCTATCCCCACCTGGGGAAGTTTCACTCCTCTAATATCATGTCTCTGGGACAATGTGTTTAGGACCCGAGTATCGCAGCTTCCAGTCCTGCCTATTGACTTTAGCACTCTGGGTAAATCCAAAATAGTCTTTTTAGAGAGACTTTGGATGACGGCAGCTGATTCTCAAGCACTCCTGCACTTTTAAAGTGGTGTAAGACTAAAGGACTGTCAGCCACATTCTCTCAGCCTTAGAAGGCCTCTGTCTGCTGAAGCTGGATGAGTTCTTGTGGACTTCAGGATACCAGACTGTTAACACTTTGGGAAGGAGTCACCACAGAGTTCCCTGGGGACATCAAGCAGTGTGGCTCAATGTGTCACCACAGAGAATCCACTGTGGACATAGAGGGGAGGGCTGCTCCCTCAAGTCGAGGCAGTGGAGAGAGAGACGTGATAGGAGCTCAGCAGGGCTTCGCCCCCTGGGGCATCAGTAGAGACATGGACCTTTCCTAGCCTTGGGGCCACACTCTAGTATTCAGGCTGCATGGATGTCCCTGGCAGGCAGCCCGCAGAAGAGCTTGCTGTCAGGGAGATGCGACCCCTCACAGGTGTGAGCACCCCCTCATTTGTCGGCCTCACTTGGCGGTTGCCCCCTGAACTCCAGGCTTTTGTCATGCTGCAGGCTAATACAGGTACCACTATCATTCCCTTTTGGAATAGCCGACGAGCAGCGTTGGTCCCACACCCCATGGGTGGAGAGTCCCCAGTAGGTAGTTAGCATGTTGGACCCAGCAGGCTCCGGAGGGTAGACTGCCTTGTTGAGAGCTTTCGACAATCAGCTCCCAGTTTCTCCTTGGAATATTACATTCAGCAAGTGTGAAATGCATTGCCTGATGGTCTTTGCCTCAGGTTTCTTGAAGCCTGTCCTTGACTGTCTTTGAAGTCTGGGGCAGAGCACTCTGCCCTCTGGGCTCTTTCCTGGTCCCCTCTCCTCCTCTTTACTAGTTAAAATGACTACATGGGCTCATCTGAGTACCCAGTGGAATGTCACATGACAGTTCTTTCTACAGCTACACTGATTTCCGTCCCTGTTACTGTAGACACACATTCGGGAGGCCTCCGTTGTACATGGTTGCTGCCAAGCCTGCTAATGGCCCATCAAAGCATCTCAGACCCAAGCAGATGAGTTTCACCTCCTTCTCATCAGCAGTGGTTTAAGTGTTCTCACAGTCTATCCGGCTGTTGCTCTGCCCACGTCCCTGATTGTGAGGATGAGAAAACAGAAAGATCAAGGACACTGAGTCAGTCACTGTCCTTCCTTTCCTACGTGCTGGTGGGGGACCGCACACTTAGAACGATGCACCAAAGTCAAGCACGCCCCGAGTCCACGGCCGTGAAGGAAGCTGCTTCTAATTCTGAGCACCACAGCAAGTCGGTAGGAAGCCTGTTATTTGCAGAGTGGCGCCAGTTCTCCAAAAAAGACATTTGTTTCTCGAAACTGTGAAGTTGTTTTTAAAATGTGGACAGAATTATTAGTCATGTGGAACCCAAATCCCCTGATGTTCACTGCCCGGGACTGAATCTAGCACAAACGCATTTGCAGGTATAGTGACCTTCTTACTTCTAATGAAACTGTCCTGTGGGCCAAAAAGAATGCGTTCATTCCCAGAGGCCCTCCGCGTCCCCTGATTCACCGATGCATCGATGTGGACAACACAACTTTGCGGGAATGCAAATCACATGTGGGCTAGGGCCGCGTGCCCTTTCTCAGACATCCCAGTTTTTTTGGTTTGCAGTTACATTTTCAGACGTAGGGAACCTCAGCCTTATTCGTGGAAGGGTGCAAATCATGCCGTGCATTTTGAAATTGTTGGGGAATATACCAAGAAATGGAACGGGAAAGGTTTGTGGCATTTCTCTGGTTAACTCAGCAATCCACCTCTTACACTGGAAGGTGGAAAAGTACTTAGGGTGAAACCCATGTCTTCAGGAATCATCCAGCCCAAGCCTCTCCTTTACAGTTAGGGAAACAGAGGCACAGAGAGGTGAAAGACCACGGCGCGGTTACCCAGTGTGACAGCAGTAACATCTTGAGTGAAGCCCCTTTTCTCTCAGATCAGGGAGGTTCCTGCTGCCTCTTCTTTCAGTCTGCCCCTCTCCCCCAGCTAATTGAACCTTTCAGGAAAACACAACTTCTAGAGGAGTATTTCTCAAAATAGACTTCACAACCCCTAGGGTCGGAATCACCTTGGATGCCTCTACCATGCAGATTTCTGGGACTTACCCAGACCTGCTAAATAAAATTGAGGCCAGGTATCTGTATTTTTTTTTTTTTCACAAGCCCCTCAGTCATTCTTATGCACATGAGGGTTGAGAACCATTAACCCAGGGCTTATAAAAAGGCAGGTGGCACGTGGCAGGAAGTGACCACTCACCTTTAGCCTAGCTGGACTAATCTCGAGGAGATAATCATTCACTGTTCCTTGCTGTTCTCTGTGCCAGTCATGTAGTGAGTTGAATGGAGCTAATGATGGTTCAAAGAGTCATTGCACTGGCTTCCCTGTTTTCTTAACGCCTGGTCTGAGCATAACTATAACTATTAATATTAGTTCTTTTTGCCTACCTGACAATATTTATCTGCAGCATTTTGCTCTGCTCTGCTTGCTGGAAGGGAAATGAATGCTTTGCAAGTATCCTTAAAATATTCAAGCCCACTCCAGACTCTGTTGATACACAGTACCTGGCCTTAAAATGTCTCGTAATGAGGCCACAAATAGTTCAGTCAGAGTCCCAATTACTTTTCCATGCAGGTAATTATTACTTCTGCCATTTGAGTGAAATTTCAGTACATTGCTTATGGCAATAAATTGAGGGCCATATTTATGTTCTCTCCTTGCTTCTATTCATAGCATAGTTTTAAAATTCCATTTCTTTTGGGATATAGCTCCAAACTGTCCTTCCCTACGAATTTGTCTGATAATAAATAAAGTAATACCATAATCTCATTCCCCCCCCGCCTCAGCTTCTAACAGACTTGAACAAAAGCAAACAAAAACACAAACACTCAATTTACCCTGCATATGGGAAAGTACCATATTTCATGGCCGACTAGCAACTGAGCAGTTCTGTAAAAATACTGATCTGTGTTATAGAAACACGACATCATGGCACTTTGGAAGTCTCATTACGGAGTTTAATAGGTTTTGTGGTATGTTTTGCAGCATGCTCTTTCTGACAAGGCATGTGTGAAAGCCTTTGACCCAAAGACAACTTGCTTACAGGAATGCCTTATCACCACTTTCCAGGAAGCCTACTTTGTTTCAGAAAGTTTTGAAGAAGCCAAAGAAAAGATGAGGTAGACTTGTTTTTCTTCCATCTACAGAAAGTAACTTTTTATTTCTTCTGGCTCTGTTCCTTCCTTTCTCTCTGTGTCTCTTCTACCAGTGAGAGTTGATCACATATCCTTCTATCTCCATTTATTTTGCAGGGACTTTGCAAAGTCAATTACCCGTCCCTTCTCCGTGTACTTCAATCCCTACACACAGAGTATTGAAATTCTGAAAGACACCCGAAGTATTGAAAATGTGGTGCAGGACCTTCGCAGTGATTTGAACACAGTGTGTGATGCCTTGAACAAAATGAACCAGTATCTGGGGATTTGATGCCTGGAACCAGTGTCGTTGCCAGCGTGATCTTTTGGGGGCTTAGCAGCAATTCAGTCAATGTCATGTAACACTGATAACTTTCTGTGTTGTGTCATGGCTTGGCTAGTAAGCATGCAATTCTGTATATCTCTATCTATGTGTAATTTACTGTGTTAATGTGTGAAACACCATAAGGAACCCAGTGACTACAGATAACCACTCATTGTTTGATATGTAACCTGTTTAAACGTCTTCAATAGATTTGACCTTTCCTGCTTGGTGTCCTTAACCAAACTGCAGCTCTTTAAAATTTGTTACAAATAGCCCTCTTCTGATTCTAGCTTATTACTTTTTCCTTCTTAGATCTGAGCTTTTCCCCATGTTCATTAGATAAAATGAAAATAGCAGTGAAACTGTTTCTATAGCCCCAGTGTTTCCACAGCATTATTTGAGATAAACCCAGAATTGTGTGAAACCTCCCATCACATTAACAAAGGATTCAGTATTCTGTTTCAAAAGGGAAAACTAGTGAGCACACTAGTTGGAATGGGTTTTCAATTGAGTATTTATACAATGTAAGAAAAGAGAACATCTTACAAATGGGACAGATAGGGGACATTGACTGTGTAGAAACTGAGGGGTGACATGCTTTCCAAATAATTTTGGAAGAAAATGCTTCCAGAGGAGCCATTAGGAAACACTAAACGGTGGGCAAAAAAATCTTGAGACTATGAATTTTATGCTACAATAAAGTAGATTATCATGCTCAATTGTTTAGCCCATTTTTCTTAGAGAACACTAATATCAGAGAGCTTGGATTTCAGAGCTGTGGAAATGGATCTCAGAGAGCTGAAGTGCTAGGCACAGTCAGCGTGCACTAACATGTTTACAGACCGCTGCACCCCACTTTTGGATCACTGAGAAGTTCAACTTGGTGGATTTGTGTGTAGTCAGAGAAGGGAAACCAATACTTATCAAAACTAAGGTTTATCACTAAAGAGGATTTGGTTTGTGATCAAGGGCTGCCAGTAGTATAGCTGTCTCCCCCCACAGCTCCAAGCCAAGCCAGGTCTCTTGAGGGCTTGTCCGGTTTGCCCAGAGTTTGGGGAGATTTGGGCAAATGGTAGTGATACACCACACATGTCTGATTATCTCTGCCCTAAGAGGTATCATCAGGTGGTTAAGTGAACAAATAAAAAACTACTGAATGAGTGAATAAGTTTCTTCTGATTCTCTGAACAAACACAACCACGGTTCCTCTCATGCTCCTTTTGTCATACAGAATGCTGGGTGGAGGGAAGAGGGGCTGGGGAAAAGAAGAGAAGAAAAAGATGACCAAATGATTTTTAAGTTAACAGCTCTAAAATATTTACTTATGCAATTTCCAAGGTGTTCTTTTAATAACAAATTGCATGTAATTTCAAACTAATTGGTACTCACACGGGGCCATTTGGAGTCAGAAATTTTTGGACTACATATACTCAGGGAGGACATGACAAAAAGTAAAAATATGACTCAGAGAGAGGTAGATGAAAATAAATCAGAGGTTTGAATAGAGGTCCCTTAACCCCTGAGGATCTTTCATTTCTGAAGGATTCTTGGAACAACTGAGTTTTGGAAGGGGATTTGGTAGACAGAATGTGAGAGTCATGCGACTTAAAATGCAATTTTGTAAATTATGTTCAGTTAGACACCGTATAGTACATAATTAGTTTTTGATGTAGTGTTCAATGTTTCATTAGTTAAGTATAACACCTAGTACTTCAATTCTATTTTAGATGAAAGAGATAGTGCCTTGAAAAATTATTGGTGTTAGAGAAATGTTGAGCTAGCTGAACCAAGAGGACCTAGAATGATCTCGTAGTTGTGTATTTCAATAATTTTATAGGTCCCCAAATACATAATTTTTTATATCTTGTTTCACTAGATTTAGATGACCCTGAGTAATCTAATTATTTACTTACAAATACTAACCTAGAACAATAACCCAGAACAATAAATCCAGAAATTTCTAGAACTAGTTGCCGAATTTTCTCAAAGAAGGAAATTGGCTGAGAAACTCTTATTGTTTGCCTTCTATGTTGTTTTCATAATTTGGGTTTGCTTTACCCACCCTTACAAAAAAGCCATAAATAGCCATTAGGTTTTTTCCCTTCCAGACCCATGAAAGGGGAGGTTTTCAGCTAAGTGGACTGAAAGAAGAATTATAGTTAATTGTAAACAAACTCCCTCAACAAAAATAATGTTTGAGCTATCTTCTGATTTGGCTTGCAGTGGCATCTTCTTTTCTTTTCTTTTAATATGTGCAAAATCTATGTTGTTTCAAAAATAGAAGAGTTGCAAAGTAAATAGGCTTTCCCACAGAGCTTATGTAGGTATCATACACGGTGGAGGAATTACTTGATTCTTTTTAGACTTGTTCTCCATTTGGAAAATCAGTAATGATGGTTTTCACCGTGTGAAACAATGGAATCATGGTTTTCATTTGTTGTGAGCATTTAACACTCAGATGCCATTACAACTAATGGTGGGAAAAATCCTATAAAATTTAATGGCCATCGTAGGAAAAGTGTTGGCAGAAAAAGTCCCCAAATGGAAATCGTACAACAAGATAATCACAGCTAGCTTCTCATCATATTTGATACCTGCTCTGTGTAACCATTTGCCTCCATTATGACTCATGACTTAAAGCTAAATGAAATAGAATCAAGGACAATTATAAATTTGAAGACACTTGCTCACTGTTGTCTCATTGTGCACTGATACTTTATTTTGACTTTGCTGCTAAATTCTATAACAAACTAATCAGAAATCAACAAGAGATTCCTAGTAAGACCAGGTTTTTATGCATCACAAATTAGCAAAAGACAGCCAGAATCTGATTAGTCCAGTTTTGTTTTTTTTTTTTTGAGCATTTTTTCTGTTATGAGTTAGGATCAGGCTTCCAATACATTCTTGCATGATCAGTTTATTTGGCATAATGAGAGTTCAATAGATTGTTCATAAATAGCATCTTTTTTTTTTTTTAAGATTTTATTTATTTAAGAGTGAGAAAGAAAGAGAAAGAGAGTGCAGGCAGGGGGAGAGACAGAGGGAGATGCAGACTCTCTGCTGAGTAGGGAGCCTGATGCGGTACTTGATCCCAGGACCCTGGGATCATGACCTGAGCTGAAGGCAGCCACTTAACCAACTAAGCCACCCAGGTGCCCCATAAATTACATGTTTTAAAGTAGGGAACTTTGACCCAAGGTTGTTATTTATTTTTATTTATTTATTTATTACACTAGTGGTAAAGGTTGTGCAACTTGGGTTTCTGGTTTAGTCTCATTTATTTACTGTGTAATTTAGAAATTATGCTTGATGGGGATGATATATCTGTGCCTGTCTTGCTTGCACGTAGCAAATGGGCCTCAGCCTAATGAATGTAAAGTATTGCAACATTTACCAACATGAAAAGTCTAAAATGAAAAACAGTGTGCTTTAACGTGGAAGCAAATAGAAATACAACGTTTCATTTTCAAATGGAGTCATGGCTCACATCATCTCATTTTCTTCATTCGAGAAAGAAAACATTAACACTCGATGTAGTTGTCCTCCAATTCATTTGATCTAATTTTCAACTTCTAAAGAATCAAGCACTGATGCTTACTCTCATGAACCTTATCTTACTTATAATGAAAAAGAAAGCAGCCCAGAGTTTTCTAGTGTGTCTGAGTTTTTTTTTTTTCTTTTTTTCTTTTTCTCCTTCTTCAGTTTCCAGAGGCATTCTCTTATTTTGGGAAATGATTCTTGTGTAGATTGCCATATTCTGGGAAGAGGCAAGGGAATTAATAGTGAGATACTATTACACTTCTTCTAATATTAGATTTACATGTATTCAAAAGAAACCAGTTCTGGAACATCAAATAGTGATGCTTTATAATATGACTTGGGGGTCTCAAAACATTTATTCAGTGGCTTAGACCATATCGGGGACTATCTGAGATACTTTTCTAGACACTGAGGATATAGTGGTAAATAAGGCAGAGAAGTTTATGCCCATTTTGAACTTATATTCTGGTGGACAGATACAGGAGAAAAAAATATTATTTGAGACCACGGCAAATTTCATGAAGAAAATAATTGGAGGGATAAGGAGCAATGGGCAGGGGGAAGGAGTAAGGTGGTCAGGGAAAGCTTTTCTGAGCAGATGGCATTTGACTAAGAACCATAGGATGAGAAGAAGCCAGGCGTGAAGAGACCCATGGAAAGAGGGTTTCTGGAAGAGGGGACAGTGAGATTATAGCCATGGGAAGGCTTCAGAGGAAGGATAAGAGGGCAGTCTGGGAGGCAAGGATGAGATAATACAGGGTTCCAGAGGGGAATCAGGTTTTTGTTTTTTAAATTTTTATTTATTTATTTGTTTATTAGAGAGAGAGAGAGAGAGAGAGAACACAAGTGGGAAGGGCAGAGGGAGAGAGAGAATCCTAAGCAGACTCTCCTCTGAGCACATTGCTCAACAGGAGACTTGATGTCATGATCCTGATATCATGACCTGAGGCAGAAACCAAGAGTGTGTTGCTTAGCAGACTGTCCCACTCAGGAGCCCTTGGAGGTCAGTTATGTTCTAAATGGGGTGGAAAGTAACCGGGGAGCCATAGCAAGACAGTGACAAGATCTGATTTACATTTTTAAGAGGTTACTCAGGCTGTGAGTAATGAACTGAAGAGGGATGGGATGGGAGTGTGGGGTCAAACCAGTTAGGAGGCCATTGCAATACAGTATCTTGCTGGATCATGGTGGACACTATTAAAAGATGTTGTAATTAAGCAAGTTACTAAATTGAGTGGATGGATTAGAACTGTCAGATGAAAAATTAGGAAACTGCCATAACTGGTACCTGGGTTATGATTTGACCAGAGAAGCAGATATCCAATGATATCCTGTGTCTTCCGCAAATACAGAAAGCTTCCTTTGACAAAGCAACATCATGTTACACTTTCCATGGCCAACTTTTAAGGATAAAAAGCCATGCTGATTTTTTTCCCCCTTGTGAATCACAAATACTAGTTGCATAAGTAAAAAAGAAGTAGAAAATGAGGCATTCTTGGTGCTGATGGGTAGTGCTGACATTTAGGATAATTCAGGACAAAAAATCTCCCTCACCTCCCGGCACACTGAACTTTTGTGTTCACCATGCCATCTAGCCATTTGTGTGGGAACGGACCATGGAAGTGTAAGTGAGTCAGTTGTCTATTTCCATTCTTCTTGCTGCTTCCCATCTCCCCAGATGCATATTTCAGGTACCCCAGAAAGCTTCCCTTACTGTGATTTCTTCCTCTCCCCAAGAAGGCTGGGTCTGGTGCAGCAGCTGGGTGTATATTTCTTTCTTGGGGAAGATCATAGTGAGCCTGATGTTTGACCTAAGGACATCTGTGGTCCTGATATGCCTGCAAATAGCATTTTCATAATCCAGTCTGGGTGCAGTTTTTATAATTGAA